TCTTCAGAGAGTGCAGAAGAAGAGAAGAGAGTAAAGAAGAAAAGAAGTCAGAACTGAAAGAAGTCACATAACATATTATTAAATTCATTATATATAATTATATATTTTAAATTAAAAATATAAAATATTTAACCTCATCTCAAAGTATATTTCTATTTGATTAAAAAAGACTACATTTCTACCTCACATGACACACAAATACTAAAAACATATACCAAATGAGATTTCATTTTTCTATTTTTTTTTGTGATTTTTGTAACAGGTTGAAGTTTTTTCTTTGACTAGATTCGTATTGCTTATACATAACCACATTTTTTTGTGGAATGATGGAAGTGACTTGAAGAATGGTTGATGTTCTTCAAGTTCCTCCGTCCAAGACCTTTCTCCTCTTGAGGTTGACACGCCAAAGTGATGAAGACAGCTTGAAGAAGCTTCAATGGTGGAGAAGCAATCAAGAAGGTTCGGTAACTCCTTAAAGATGTAGAAGGAGACAAGGTTCCAAGGCATAAAGGTGGAAACCTTTGTGAAGGAACTAGGAGAGAAAGTTCTCCACGGCCAAGAGACTTTGAGAAGAGAGAATTCTTTTAGAAATTCTGATTTCATTCATCCAAAGTGAGATAAAATGAGAGAAATACAAATTTATAGAAGGAGGTAGCTTAGGGAGCAAGCTAACCTTAACCATGGTTCAATAGGAACCATGGTTGAGTTGCTTGACTGACCATCCTAGTTTAGGAGGCTTGTAGAGCACGTTTCTCACTTAGCTTGCTTGGGAAGCAAGCTAAATGAGAAGCTTGTAGCATAAGTTTCCCAAAGCTTAAGAGAGGAGAAGCAATTTCGGTCAAAGGAAGAAGACTAGGCAAGCTAGGCGGCCTTGGTTCATTTTGGCTCCATGAATCCGGATCAAAAATATTTGGTTTGGTTTAGTTAGGTCCATCCAAAAATGGTGAGACCTAGCTAAATCAAATCCATGAAAAATTAGGAGCAAAATGAGTCCAATATGTAAAATTTTGCGTAGGCCCAATTCTAGCCCAATTACTAGTCACAGCCTCAAGCTTTGCTAATTGTCACCCCACTTCTACTACTGAAAAATAGAAAAAGAGTGTTATTCAAGATTAGGTTAAATGGAGTCAAAGTCTCCCGTAACCTACCCTAGAAACAATATACAATGATCAATAAAATGAAATAAATTGTTTCACAAGTACAAAGACAAAAATAAGCCTATACAAGGAAACTATGTACAAGTTTATATACAACAAAGTCATGCCTTCTCTTCATGATAGGTTGGTCCATATGAATAATACCTTGGGCTTGGAAAGCCCACTGGTCTTCAAGTTGTCCAATCTTTCTTGAATGCTCTTGGCCATAGCTCTAGTGATCGGGCATTTGACCCATGGTCCATCATGGAAGCTTTTGGATAAGCCTTAGAGAACCTCCAACGGAGGTTGCTTAAGATGTATCTTAAAGATAAGGAATGGTGCATACAAAAAAAACTACCATTGGAGTGATCTGATGTGATAAAGAAAGTTGGAAATTTTTTAGATCCGTTGCTTTAGGAAGGAACGGTGCTTGGGACACTGAAATGCCAAATGGAGAGCTCTCAATGGTTCATCCTTCCAAGTTTCCATCGCCAGATGGAGTGAAATGAGGTTTCCAGCGATGACGGATGGTAGAGCGTTGAATTGCTTTGTCGTAGAGATGGTTGCTATCGTGATTCATTGAAACGCTTGCATGTTCGATGAACTACTACTGCAGATGTAACACCCCAGTTTTCATACCATTTATTGAGGGTAATTGAGTAATTTTCATAAATTTACAGGGGTGGTTTAGTCGTCCAGAACGGGTCGTTCCCAAATTGGAACGGGTCGTTCCAGTCTACTAAAACAAGGGTAATTTAGTAGCTCAAAACGAGCCATTTCAAAATTGGAACAGGTCGTTACAAACTACTAAAAAGGCTTGTAATCCTAGTTCAGAACAAGGCATTCTAAATATTGTCGTTATGAGTTAAATGCAACCCTAGAACGGTTCGTTCTAGTTTGAGAACAGGTCGTTCTGGATGTGAATTTTACACATAACGTAAGAGTCCATAACAGGTCGTTCCAAATTTGAAACGGGTCATTCTGGCGATGCTTTATGCCTATAAATAGAGAGCTTTGGCACTCCCAAAAAGCACACTTTTCAATTCTGACTTCTTTCAGTTCTGACTTCTTTTCTTCTTTACTCTCTTCTCTTCTTCTGCACTCTCTGAAGATCGAGGGGAACCCAGCGAAGGAGACCAACCAAATCCTGCTTAGTTTCAGCTACTATTTATCAAGGTACGGAAGAAAAGAGAATTATTTGTATGTAGAATTACATGAGGGAATTGGGTAGAGGAAGAATTCCTTAGGATTATAGGTAATTTTATAATTATTTTTGTTTGAAGAATTAATGATCCCATTAGATTTTGTATGTGTTGAGAATTAGAAATATATATTTAATTTGTAAGGATGATGATCTGGGAGAGAGAACTAAATTGTAGAAAAGTGCCTATGAGTTAGGTTTTAGAAGGTAATTTTATAATTATTTCTGTTTAAGGAATTGATGATCCAATTAGATTTTACATGTATTGAGGATTAGAAATATATATTTAATTTGTGAAAATGATGATTTGGGAGAGAGAACGAAATTGTAGAAAAGTGTCTGTGAGTTAAGTTTTAGAAAAATTGGGAGTTTTACTATTTGATTTAATATTGTATTAAATTGGTGAATTAATTGAGTTTTATATTATTGTTATAGATGAGTATTCATGGTGAATTGCTTGATGGGTATGTGAATCATTGCATTGTGTGAACTTATCTGTATGTAATATGGAATTTGAGTTATGAAATGAGATGTGTGGAATGTAAATGAGATGTGATTGTGGATTCTCGTATTGATGACCAGGGGTGAGCACGGCCCTAAGCTGCTAAAAAGGGTAGCGTGACCTTGGCACAATGTTATGTCAGGGGTGAGCACAGCCTTAGGCTGCTAAAAAGGGTAGCGTGACCTTGGCACAGTGTTATGTCAAGGGTGAGCACGACCCTAGAAAAAAGGGTAGCGTGACCTTGACATAGTAAGATTTGTGTGAATTATGGATGTGAAAATGATAATGTTAATTGCAAGATTTGTAATGATTGGTGTGATTGCGAATTGTGACGTGATGATGCATGATTGATAGAGTTAGGATATATTGAAATGTTTATGAATATTTTATTAAGTATCGAGTTATAATGAGATGATATGTTGTGCTTTCCTTATGTGCTTTACATATAGATGTTTTTTCTGAGTTATATGTTGTTAGAGTTGAAAGATTTTATTAAGTATCGAGTTATAATGAGATGATATGTTGTGCTTTCCTTATGTGCTTTACATATAGATGTTTTCTTTTCTCACCGTACAATTTGTGGATGTTTTAGGTGAGGAAGATCCGGCTATGAGTGGCATCTAGAATGCTAACAGTTGAGGTAACTTAATTTTGTGGCGAACCAAGAAACAAAATACAATTGCTAGATCCAATGTGGAAGTAGAATATCGTGTTACACTGCTATGGCAATAGTTGCGAGTGAAATTACATGGCTATAACAACTTCTCAAGCAACTCCAAATTGGAGACACTCAGGGAATTAAACTCATCTGTGATAATCAAGTTGCTCTTCACATTGCCTCCAATCCGGTCTTCCACGAGCAAACTAAGTACATAGAAATAGACTGTCATTTTGTAAGAAAGAAAGTGCTCTCAGGAGAGATCACAATTGAGTTCGTCCACTCTAGTGACCAATTAGCATGTGTTTACAAAATCGCTTAAAGGACCTCAAGTTGATTACATTTGTGGTGCATATGATATATATGCTCCACCTTGAGGGGGTGTGTTAAGATATTGTGAAAATTTATTAGAGTTAATCATATCTTAACTAATCATATCATACATATCATGTAATCCTTATTTTTCATTATAAATAAGAGTTATGTGTGCTCTAAGATTTACACATAATTCCTAAATCACAACACATAGTTACCTATTTTAGGGACAAATGTATCTCTATAATAGGGTAAGAGAAAAATGTAATTAGTGTGAAACAAATTAATAGAATCATCCAATTTGATTTCAATTCTTAGATGGTGTTAGAGCCATAGCATTGCACTATTGGTATCCACCTTGATAATAATATCTACTTATGTTATGTTAAGCTTAAGGAATTCAATCACCACTAAACCTATAATTTTAGATTTTGTTTACTCTCATTCTCTCCATTACAACTTTAGTCACATGGAGTTTTTAATCTCTCACATTTGTTCAGTTGCATGTTCTTACAATGATATAAACTTTAGTCATATGATGTTTTGATTATGCACAACTTACGAGAATTAATTGTGAATTTGTGATTAGATTAGAATTAGTATTATTCCTACTTTCCTTTATTATTTAGCCATAGCATTTATAGGGATAATTATTCCCCTGATTTTTTGGCTAGATTGGTGTACAGATTTATTTTCCCCTTTCCTATTTATACCTCCCATTGTATCAAGTATTATTCAGAGAAATATAATCCATATTTCTACCATATATATATAAGCATATATTTAATCAAATAAATTATTACCATTGTTGCTAAGAGGCCAACTTCTTGCACTGAAACCTCCACAGGATTTTATCGGATATATTGTAATTGATTTGAGAAAATAACCATTATCCACAAAACCCTTCTCAAGGCCTGCAGGCAATTAACCGAGTAAATGTCCATCTAAAACAATTAAAATAAAATTATACAATATTTCAGTAACAATTTAAAACAGTGAAAACAATATGTGCTACATAGCTTTTAACTATAGGTTTTTAACTTAATATTGGATTAACTATTTGACAACAATACAATAATTGAGAGGTTAATTTATTATTAAATTTTGAATTTGACATATAACTACACATTGAAATTTTGCAAGGAAGGTCATTATCCCCTTTAAGATCTCTTTTCTAAGAATTTGGGTTTAAGGCTTAACTCAACTTCACAAAACTAGCTTGATAAGTGACGACTGTCCAAGCTTTAGAAGAACATCCAACATCATGTTGAGCTTTGGGTTACTTTTTGTAGTCCATTTCTTCTTTGTAAATATTCTTTTTATTTTTGACCTTGTATTTTTTAGTCATTTAGATTAGGAATTTATTTCTTTGTATTTTTTCCTTTTAGGGGTGTACTTAGTATTTTAGTAGAGAAAACATAGTTTATTGGGCTTGTTTGGGCTAAGAGAGTGGAAAGCCTTCTCTCCTTGAAAGTGGAAGTCCACTTTCCATGTCCCACACTCTCTCATTAGCTTCACACAAAATCTATCTAGTCACATGTTCCACACACTAGTAACATCTTTTGCATGCTTGCTTCTACACCCCCCCTTTTCTTACTACCAAACCCCCATCACACATTTTGTATGATGCCATGTGGCAAGTTCTTATTAGCTCCCCTAGATCTAACTTTTAGGTGCCAATTTTCTTGAAATTTACATTTGAATTTCAAATTTTGGTAACTGGAGTTAGTTACCTTGAGTACAAGTTAACCTAGCCTTAGTTAAATCAAACCATGGTTAGTTTAACTTGTCCCACAATCTACCAAACTCTATATATAGGACCAAGCATGTATTAGATGTCACTTTTGAATGATAATTGAGATTGTTATTGATTTTCTCTCAAACTTCAAAAGTCTAAGAGTTCCTCTCTTTGAGTGAAATTCCATTTGAATCTCTTATTGAGGATCATTTCCTTGTAGTGAGAAACCTTCTTGGCTTATTTTCTCTCTAGAAGTGGCGCCACCATCTCTCTACTTTTCCACTATTTTCAAGTTTCTTCTTCTTCAAAGAACCTCATGGATGAAGATCAAGGGAGTAGGAAAAAGCTAGGAGAAGAAATCCATCATCCTTAAAGCTTATTCCATCATTTGTTACCCATAGATTTGAACCTTTTGATTTGGATGAACTTGAGGCACTTCTTTTGGCTCAATTAGTGCATTTGGATCAATATCATCAAAGCAATGTTAATGTTGTAACTGATCATCTTTCACAATCTAGTTTGAAAAACAATAATGCAAATGAAGCAAGTCAACCTCAGGCAAATACGGTGGCTGAAATGACAAAGGAAGAGCACATGGTCATGGAAGTTTGGACATAGTGCATCACTATGCTATCATTGTTGATTGGGCATCAAATCCTGATGACAACAGATCAACATCAAGTTCATGCACTTTTTTAGGACCCAATATCAAATCTTGGTGATCCAAGAAATGACTATTGTTGCAAGGTTAACGACATAGGCAAAATATAGAAGTTTAGTAGCTACAGCTGCTGAAATGTTGTGGATACAATCCCTTCTACAAGAATTGCATATCAAGACTATATCTCCAACCATATATATTGATAAACTGAGCAGAGTAGCTCTATCCCACAATCCTATTCTCCATGAAGAACTAAACACATGGAGCTTGATATTTTCCTTCTCAAGCAGAAAGTTATCAACCAAAATCTAAAAGTTTTATATATTCCATTTGATGAACAGTGTGTACATATTCTCACTAAAGCATTATATCCTACTCATTTTCAATATCTTCAAGACAAGCTAAAGGTGTCCTACAATCCTGCTCAGCCACCTCCAGCTTGAAGGGGAATGTTAGAATACTTGGTCTATATTTTGTATAGCTATAGATTATTTTCTGCTTTGAGTTGTATATGTCTTATCGTAGAGACCTTCTGTATTATTTCTTTTCTTTATTTCTGTTTTGATTCTGTTAAAGTTCAGTTACAATTGAACAATGTAATTATTCCTTATGAATACTTGTTATCAAGTATTGTAAAGATACAATCAGAAATATATCAGACTCTTCTAAAATCCCTCTCTCTGTTCGAATTCTATTAATAAGCAATCACGACTTGAATTCATTGAGTACGTAGAATAAATTAATGTTAGAAAAGGAGGTGAACCTTTCAATTGATTCCCATAGTGGTCAATGTGATTTCGAGGTGACATGAAGGAATTTGCAACAAAATCAACAAATTTCTGAAAATCAAAAGATAAAAATATACAAAAATTAGATATGTAAAAAGGGTAACAAAAATCTTGAGAAATACAACACACCAAGAAAGAACCCAAGCAGAACTAGCAATTCAAAATATGAAAATAACAATCTTTGATACCCAATTTTTACTTGATATGCTGCCCATTTTCCATATTAAGAAAGTATTGGTTGAATAAAATCAAAATTAATCCAAAATCATGAGCTTTAATGGTTCCAAAAGTCTAATAGAAATGCAAAATGGTCTAAAGCATGGTTTTGAAAACTGTACCAAACCAGCCAGTTGAGCCGGTTTCACTGGGAACCGGTCCTCAACTGGTTCGGTTTTCAAAACCGTTTGGCAATGAACAGGTCAAAACCAGTCAAACCAGTTCAATTAAAAAATATTTTTTATTTTTAAAATTTAATTTAAAATAGTTTTAATAAAATTAAAAAAATTAAAATTTGAATAACTTATTTTAATACTTGCCTTCTAAATATAATTTAATCATTTATGTTAATTTTTTATTTTTAATATCTTTATTTTTTACAATTTATATTATATTAATTTGATACCCTTTATTCTAAACTAGTGGAGTCGAGGCACTTCGTGCCTCTATTAAAAATAAAATAATAATAATAATTAAATAATAAAAGTATATTGATTTAATTGGTATTATGATTAATTCATTAGTTTCAAGTTCTTAAATTTGATTAAAAAATATTTTTTCTAATTTTTTAAAATAAAAGGGTATAATGGTCAAAAAAAGTGGAGACCAATGTGGTTACTGAAAAAGTTATCCACTTTATATATTAGTATAGATGTAAACTTGTTATTATTAATAATGGATATTATTATATTTTATTAAAATTTATACTTAAATATTATATTATATTTTGTTAAGAACTTAAATATTATATCATATTAAATGTTGAAAAATTATAAATAACATTTTATTATAATTTTTAGTGATATAAAATTATAATATTATATTTATTTAATATTATTTTTGTATTGATAATAATAATAATTATTATTATTTTATTAATACCAGTTTGATCACGATTCAACCATGGTTGAACCATTGAACCTTGAAGTAGTGTCTAGACCGGTTCAATGACCAGTTTGATTTTGAAAACATTGGTTATAAGATTTCAAACCTTAGCATCCTCATATGTTGACATGTAACCGAAGGATACTCTTACAGCTCCAACAGGTTTACCATTGATTATATCATGGTCATCCCAACAAATGTGGCCAGCCTAAATACAAAAAAATGTCATCATTCTTTATGTTATACACTCATAACATAGATAAGCCAATCATCGTCAGTTTTTAGTAAAATCAGATGGTAGAAATACCTCAGTATTTGAAATAAGATCCACATGAGACAAGCCAAGGTATTTTGCACATGCACCTGGATTGCAGAAGCATCCTGTCTAAACAGATAGCAAGTGAAGATAAATAATCAACACATGAATTTATAAATAGAAATATTAACATGAAGAAATCCATAATGTATACCCTTAGCTGAATTCCTGAAAGTGATGCCAGCTTCTCCACTTCGCGATATCCATACCAAGAACCATCTGGCCGTTTTAAGTTGAATGAAATTACTGAACCCATTTCATGACACAGTCCCTGGATGAAAATAAAAAAAGTATTAACCAGCTCCAAGTTCCTGAAGACAGGCACAAATGCAATCACTTGAGTGACCAACTACTGCTTATTTTGTGTGTGAAGGCAGTAAGTACAATTTTTATTTACATAAACAATATAAATAATAATATGTATGTCATTTCCTAGGCTCCTATCCTATTGTTTTCCGAAGGTACTAACTACGAAAAGACAAATAATATCTAATACAGCATGCAGGGTGTTCCAAAAATTCTAATGTGAGCAAAAAGGTGATCAATAGGAATTTAGTACAGCAAACTTCGGTAGATAAATTCGCAATGTAGAAATAGGTTCAGACTAATATGTACAGAATACAAGGCTTATCAAGTTGTAGTATTTAGTAATTACTTCTTAGTAGGTTCAAACCAATTCTGTTTCCATGATTCTTTATTGTTCGTTGAGTTCTTTGTACCATTTTCAGTACAAATTTGTTTGAAGTTCAGTTTTTTCACTGAAAAATTCACTCAAATCCTTTGATCTAAACATGGTATCAAGGGCATATTTTTCCCCCTTCCTTATGTTGTGTCTTTTTCTCTCACCTCGGGCTATATTTTTCAGGTCCACCATCAAGAGTGTATTTTTTACTTCTTACTGCCTTCAAACTATACAAAATCTCACCATAACCAGAGCTTAGACATGCGTCCTTGTGTCACCACCAGATTCATGATTGCAGATTGTACTACTTGAAAGAAAAGGAAAATGAACTTTTATCTATATTTAGTATGTTTTAATACAAGCTCTAATCTCCCTTTCATAGGCTCTCTACCACAAGCCCGAATATACAAGTCCCGCTTATAATCACATTACGTGGGAAAGGCGGGAAGACTTAGTTATAGAGAGAGAAAAAGAAGAAAAGATAATGTAGTCAATTATATACTAGGGAAGGGAGAATGAAAGGAATGTGGAGTTTGTAATTTCAATTTGGGGGTTGAGTGTATACTCTGACTTGGGCAGAGAGGAAACTTCTTTGAGGAGCTTCTGCTTTGGGATTACAAGGGTTTATCTTGTAATACTACTTATATTTTCAATCAATAATAGTTATTGGTTTATCCAAAATAAGGTTGCTTAACACCCTCTTACAAGATAAACAATTAAACCTAAAAAGAGAAAAATAAGGAAACAAATAAGCCCACTTATATTTTATGCCATACAGCATGCTAATAAGGGAGACGGAGGTAGCAATTCAGTTGGTTGCTTTAGACTGAGAACTAGTTTTCTCTAAGGAGTCTTGTATGTGTCATCTAGAGTAATACGTCATATTGTCATTGATTCATTGGTATTAATTTTAGGATGCACTATCTAAATAAAGAGTTTTGGACCTCCAAAGTTTATCCGGATAGAATGTTACTCTATTCGACAAGAGTTGGGAACTGAAAAAATAATTTGCACAAAAACACCCCTAAATGAACAAGAGACTAATTCTAAATACCATTATCAGAACTAGAGGAAAAAGAATAGAGTAAAGGAGACCCAAATCCAATTCAAAGAATTCACTATCATTTAAGATTCCTTTTGTACATATTCATTCTGGTTTCTTACTATGCCCTCCTTTTTTAAGTACTGATGTTGTATGACTACTATACCAATTACCAAGAGTCCTAAATCTATATATGTTTTCATTACAGAAAACAATTCTCATGAATAATGAAAACAGTTTTCAAGAAAGAAAAAAAAAATAACTCAAGGAAATTTATTAAAATAAAAAAAAAAAAAGGATCAACCAACTAAGCACCCAGAGAATGTCTACTAAATCTCAACTATTAAAGCATAAATAACTATAAATAACAAATACATATAAAACTATAAATAGGACAAGAAGTTGTGCACAAACTAACCATTGAGTTATGATGTCCATAGAGGATGCAGACACTAGATCCATTGCCATGCTTCATGGCTGAAAGCATTTTCCTTGTATACAATGTAAGAGATGCTATATGTCTACAAGGAAAAATAAATTTCATGCTTTAAAAAATATTGAGATAACTTAAAGGAAAAAAATATTATGATAAGTTACTTTCAGTTCTTGCTACTATGACAAGAAATGCAAGTAAAAAAACACTAATAAACTTTCCGCCAAACACTTGAGCATTTGAGTAACTAAGTTGAATGATTTATTGTCACAATATCATAGCTTTCATGACATTGGCTTGAAATTCAAGCATCACATATCAACTCTATTAAGTTTTAGAATAATGACCATGAACATGTGAGCATGTGTGATGTAGAGCACAAAGTAACAAAACATGAGTAACTCTGAAAATTCTTTATTATCAATAATACAGCAAAAGGTCCTCATGTTGTGAGAAAAGAGGTATTATCATGCTCTATAGTTAACATTGCTAAAATAAGACAATATATACACACATGATATGTGGACCTATTAGGCCAAACTAGGTATAAAAAGGAATAATCTCTTACAATCAACAAAGTTCTAGAATACCTAATGTGCAGGTGTATTACAAGAGAGCAATTATTAAACTGACTTTCGGGTTTGGTTAGCAAAGCTATTTGAACTTTGCTCATCACCTTCAACACTTCTTTGTCTGTCTGAAAATTCCCCCACTATTCTTGAATGAGTTGAACCAAGATGAAGGAATAGTCAATCCATTGTACGTTGCATGGGAGCAAAAGGACCAAATGCCCATGTAATGGCTTCAATCTCTTTTTCTCCTTTTATTCTCTCTTGTGTGCTAGGAAGTGTTCATTCCCATCAAGTTTGGGATAAAATCCATGATTTCTTTCACAACAAACTCAAGCAAGAGCTCGACAATTGCAAACTAAACAATGATCGACATCACTCGAAGAAAAGCCAATAGAAGAATTTCTTCGCTTCATCAAAATCTTGGTTGAGGCTCTTGCTTATGTTGGAGAATTTGTTTCACGACAAGAACAAATTGATGTTATTCTTGAAGGTTTCTCTCACGATTACACTTCAAACATATTCGTTATTGAAAGCAAGTTCTAAACTCCTCAAATCAACAAGTTGAAGCTATATTGTTAGCGCACGAGATGCAACTTCAGAAATACAAGAAACTCCTCTTTGAATTGACATCGATCAATTTAACACAGGCTCTTAATTTGAACCCTAACTCTTGTTAGAACAATGCTACCACGAATCAGGTTAACCAATTTTCGCAAGGTTCGGATATAGACACAAATGGTCGAAGGAATACCTACTACCTCCTCCCAGAGCGCTAGCTCTAATTACAATCCAATAAAACTTCTCCAATAACTCCCCTCTCTCTCAAGCTACTCTAAATTTATTATCATCTCCCACAACTAACTCTCTAAAATTGATAAAAGAAGATAAATCCTAATATAAGTTATGATAACATAATTCAAATTGTAAATCCTAAAGATAAGCTATGATAATAAATTCAAATAACAATCCTAAAGATAAACTATGATAACATAATTCAATTGACATAATCATAAACTAAATTTATTACTTTGAATTGGGTTCTATATTGCCCTCTCCTATGATATCAAGCTTGTCAATTAAGGTTGAAATCCTCAATGGGCCTCTTCTAGTAGCATATTCACATTCTCTTGTTCCTCCTCCATGTTGCTCTTTACCAACTCCATCTCACCTTCTCCATTGATAATTTCATCTTAGCAAGCAAGGTAAGTCTAACTTGTTTGTTTGGGCATTGATGCATAGGATGTTATCTTTGACCGCAACAATAACACAACCCCTTCTTCCTTTTGTCAAACAATTCTCGAGAAGATAGGTGTCAAGTTCCCCTACTCCTCACATCTCCCAGATGCCTATTATTGTCAACCTCTAACCCTGATTCGTGACTTGGGTTCAGGTTTCGAATTTTTGGATTATATTCCTATGGTGAAAGGTGGGATGTGAAGAGGAAGAAAACGAAGTCTCGGGCTTATGGTAATTCAGTTCAACATTGACTATTGGTTTTAGACCAAAACCTTTCGCCTCACTATCTACCTCCCCCGACATAGAGCACACTCCACATCTCAAGCTAGAGAGATAGCCTTATTAATTTTCTTTAGGGTGGTGAAGACGCACCCATTGTCTAATTTTAGGCTTTAACCCGTGCATAAAATATCTTATGGCCTATGGTACAACTAGACAAGGGACTTAGGAAGAAAAAAATTCAAACTCTTCAATAAATTCTACAACAAAACACTCTTGTGTAAGTGCAGCTAGGTGGGATGAGAAGAGGAAGAAATTGAAGTCTCGGGCTTATGGTAATTCAGTTCAACATTGACTATTGGTTTTAGACCAAAACCTTTCGCCTCACTATCTACCTCCCCCGACATAGAGCACACTCCACATCTCAAGCTAGAGAGATAGCCTTATTAATTTTCTTTAGGGTGGTGAAGACGCACCCATTGTCTAATTTTAGGCTTTAACCCGTGCATAAAATATCTTATGGCCTATGGTACAACTAGACAAGGGACTTAGGAAGAAAAAAATTCAAACTCTTCAATAAATTCTACAACAAAACACTCTTGTGTAAGTGCAGCTAGTTGCTCACATGGATTACGAGTATTTATGTCTCCAAAGCGCTCCCACAACACCTCCTTTAACTTCTCCCAAGAAAGCCCTGGATCACCCTCCCATAACAAGGAAAACCATTGAACGACATATCCCTCCATTGACAATTGAGCAAGAGAAATTTTCATCTATGGTGGGGTACCCTACTATTAGAGTATGCCATGTATAATTAGTTTACGTTTTTCTTTTGTATAACCGTAAGCTCTTTTGAGAGCTCTACTGTATTAGTTTTCATTCTATTTGTTCTGTTAGTTAGTTATGGGTTGTTGTTTAATTACAATTGAACCTTATATTTTCTCCATTATAAATATAGAGATACTTGGAATCTTGAGTAGTAATGAAATCATTTCAGATTTACAATATCTCTATTCTATTCTCTCACTAAGATGGAATTCTAATATTTTATTTAGAGCTCAGTGATCCTTATCCATGGCTCTCGAACCAGTTTTTACCCACCCTCCCTCTCCAAACGTCTCTTCTTCAATGTTAACTATTTGTTCACTCACGATCTCAGAGAAGCTAACAGAGAACAATTTTCTCCTATGGAAACAACAAATTGAACCAGTGATCAAAGGCCACCGATAGCACCGTTACTTGGTGAATCTAGATATTCTGCTACAATTTCTCACTAATGAAGATTGCAATGCTGACAATGTCAATCCTGCATATCTTCGATGGGAACAACAAGACTCCTTACTTATTTCATGGCTCCAAGCATAAATATCAGCACCAATTTTGGCTTGATTAATCGGTTGCATTCATTCTTGGTAAGTTTGGGACAAGTTGCACAATCACTTCCATGCACATACACATGCATGCTCGAGAATGCTTCGCATTGAACTGCGAAACACGAAGAAGGAAGATCATCCAATTCCTGAGTATGTTCTTCACATCAACGTGATTGCAAATGCTCAATGCTCCATTGGGTTGGAGATCCTATTTCTAATCAAGAACAACTTGATGTCATTGTTGAAGGTTTACCAGAGGAGTATGATTCCTTGATCAATTTAATTACAAGTTGATTTTAACCATATGAGCTAGATGAACTTGAGGCACTACTCTTAGCTCAAGAAGTTCGATTGGATAGCTATCGTCATAATAATGTCAACAATGTTGTTACTCATCTATCTCAGTCTACAATAGGAAAGAATAATTGCACAGATGACGAAGTGAAGCCGCAAGCAAATGTTGCAAACAATTTGCAATTATACTCTGCAAACCCTAACTATCAATAGTGGAGAAATGGCAGAGGTAGAGGTCATGGTCATGGTCGTGGTCATGGTCGTGGTCAAAGTTCTATTCAATGTCAAGTGTGTAACAAATTCGACATAGTGCTTTTGTTTGCTATCACATATTCAACCTAGGCTATGTTCCATCTAATCAAAATTTCCAATGTTTTGGTAACAATTTTGGAAGTAATCAGCAAGTTATGAATAACAGTGGTAACATTCATGCAACCAGTATAATCCAACTAGATTTCCCAATCATAGCCAAACAACACCTCAAGCCTTCATCTCTAACACTAATACCAATTTCTCCTTTGGTTGGTATCTGGATTTAGGAGCATCACACCATGTGACTCCTTACCAGTTAAACATATAGCAACCTATTTAATACGAAGGTCCTTATCAACTTATGGTTGGATACAGACAGGGACTTACTATCTCCTCTTCAGGTTAAACTTGGTTTCCTTCCAATCTTAATCCTAATATTCAACTTGTTTTCCATAATCTCTTACATGTTCCTCATATCACTAAAAATCTTGTTAGTGTGAGTCAGTTTGCCAAAGATAACAATGTTTTCTTTGAATTCCATCCTAAAATCTATCTTGTGAAATGCCAAGATAACAATGTTTTCTTTGAATTCCATCCTAAAATCTATCTTGTGAAATGCCAAGGAACCAATGATGTTCTTCTCCAAGCTGAACTTGGACAAGATGGACTATGTAAGTTCTCCAATCTTCATATACCTCTTGTACAAAATAAACATTACCAATCTACTGTTGTAAATACTGTTAGTTCTGTTAATACTTGGCATTGCAGGTTAGGTCATCATAATAAGGATACTCTTCGGTTTGTATTACAAACTTTTAATGTTTCAAATTTCAATAAAAATGAATTAGATTTTTGTTCAGCATGTTGTCTTGGAAAGTCTCATAGATTACCTTCTCATGCTTCCTTAACTCATTATTCTACTCCTCTTGAACTAGTTTATAGTGATCTATGGGGTCCCTTTCCCTTTACATCCTTTGGAGGTTATAATTATTATATCACTTTTGTAGATGCATTTTCTAAATACACTTGGTTGTTTTTGCTGAAAACCAAATCTAAAGCACTCAAAACTTTTTTACGGTTTAAAACTATGGCTGAATTAAAATTCAACTATAAAATAAAAGCGCTTTAAACTGATTGGGTGG